AGAGAGAGAGAGAGAGAGAGAGAGAGAGAGAGAGAACACTGAATAAATTCATATCTGGACACTGCCATTCATTTCAAAAGTTGATAAAAGCCATCCATTTCACAGAACCACAGAAGATCAGGCCCCCCTTCTTTCCTTGGTGGGGTGGGAGAGTGCGTGAAAGCATTATGGACAGTGAAAGAACATAAGCATGAGAGTATAATTGATTAACAGCAGTAAAAACACAATGCTATTTGCTTAATATTTGGGGAGACAACAACAGAAAAAGCTCACTTCTTTAAATTCCTTCACAGTTCACATATAATACTTAAGTTACAAATTGTGTACAAAAATCATATTCCTAGCAACGATTATATGATTAATTAAAATTTTAAAAAAACAGCTAGTAAAGAAAAATGCGAGACCACTTGGCGGGAGAAGTCCGGGTAAAGAAATTTAAAACACAACACCAATACGAGGTTGTGACTAGAGTTGAAAATTAAATAAGAAGCGATCCTACAACGGCTTACCTAATGTTCAAAATAAAGAACACCACACGGAGATAGGGTGCAATACGGAATGGTAGATAATAGAAGTCTGCTAGAAAGAGAATGTAGACCACAATATCTGCGACCAAGATTAACAGCAAAATGACCTGAAAAATCAAGCCAAACAAGAAAGAAATTGTCATTAACTAAAGTTAACTATCAGTATTGGAGCAACCTAAGATTCATCAATATTACTGAACCTTCCAACAATTTCTTTCCTCAAAATCATTATGAAAAATCTAGGTCTGCAGGTTAGTTTTGAACATAAAACAGTTTAAGCAGAATCATAAGAGTGGCTTTTACACAAACTTTGTGGGTTTATTAGAGAGAGAACTTTTTCTTGAAACGTACCCTCTGTTTGGGAATGAATTGAATGGAAAGTACAGAGAGGACAAATAAAAAGTGATTCTGTTTTTTCAAAATTACATACACATATATAAAAACATATTGTTTTATGGCTTATGCTCTAATTTCTCTCTACATTATCTTCCCTCCCACATGAGAGAGAAAAAGGAGCCCAAAATGAAAACTATTTTCCTTTGTCCAATTTCTTTCCACTTTGTTCTTGTCAAACCAAAGCAGGAAATGACTATTAGTAATTACTTTCCTCAGTTACAAAACAAATTAATTACTATTACTAATGGCTCTCTAAGTATGCGCTTTCCAAAGTAAAAGTTAAAGCAATAGAAATGCTTTAAAAAGATGAATTGGAGGAGAAATTTTAAGAGAAGCACAACATAAAGAACCTCCCCGACCAAAAATGTTTTCCTTATGCAGCTCTGATATGGTTCCACTTCCTCTATGGAGTACAGAGTTCAAGTGAGTTGATATCTCTAATACCTCATTGCTCTGTCATGTTACACCATATCGAAAAACACCACAGAAGAACGTGCAACAGAGGCAATGCATGAGTAGTCATGCTAAGGTGGAATATAACTGTTAGTTTACAGATATGTATAGTATAGACTTGTCCCACATTGGAAGAGGAGTAATATGTCCTTGTAGTGTATAGCTATAAATAGGGACCTCTTGTATTGTATTCATTATCCAATATCAATAACATATTTTCTCCCATGCCTTCTCACATGGTATCAGAGCAATTGTGAGAGATTTATCGTTGTGCATAAATTTCAGCGATTCCGGAAAGAGAAATCAGTCAGCGAAAGTTTTTTTTTTCCGGCGGCTCTTTTAAGGCTGTTTTGCGTCTGCTTCGTCTCCGTCAGTGTTGTGCAAAATCCAACACTACCAAAAGAGTCGTCATTGTCCGGCGACCAAACCCCAGTGAAAATCTCCGGCAGCACCCTCCTCACGCGCCTCCACGCGCCACCAGAAGCTCATGCGCCGGCGCGTACGACCACTTCCGGCCATTTTTTGAAAAACTTCCTTCAGAACAGTTGGGTCGCCTGGTAATTTCTATCCTACCCTTACTGTTTTCATTTCATTCCGACCACTTTGAGTTTTTTCCGGCATCTACAGTAAGATTCCGGCAGCTACAGTATTTCCTTATTCTGTTTCTGTGTTTCCTTACTCTGTTTCAGTGGATTACAGTTGATTCTTTCTCTTATTTGGTAATAATATGCAAACAGTCTAGCGAAGGAGATGAAAAGGCAATAGCACTTTGGGCAAAGATCGATGCTCAGTTATGTAGCATCTTGTGGCGATCTACTGATTACAAGTTGATGCCCTTGTTTCGTCCATTCCAGACATGTTATTTGGTTTGGGCAAAGGCACGCACCTTATACACTAATGACATATCTCGCTTCTATTATGTGATATTGCGGATGACAAACTTAAAGAAGCAGGAATTAGATACTTACTTGGGTCAAGTACAGGCAGTCATGGAGGAATTTGAGAAGTTGATGCCAGTTTCTGCTAGTGTTGAAAAACAACAAGAGCAACGACAGAAGATGTTTCTCGTTCTTACCCTCGCTGGACTTCCTAATAATCTTGATTCAGTACGCGACCAGATTTTGGCTAGTCCGACTGCCCCGACAATTGATGAATTATTCTCCTGATTACTCCGCCTTGCTGCAGCACCAAGTCACCCAGTGATCCCATCACAGATACTTGATTCCTCTGTTCTTGCATCCTAGACAGTGGATGTTTGGGCATCTCAAACTATGGAGCATAGACGAGGAGGAGGTCGTTTTGGAAGATCTAGACCCAAGTGTTCTTATTGTCAGAAACTTGGACACACTCGTGAAATGTGCTATTCCTTACATGGTCGTCCACCCAAAAATGTTTACATTGCTCAGACCGAGACTACAGGTAATCAGGGATTTTCTTTATCTAAAGAAGAATATAACGAGCTCCTTCAGTATCGAGCAAGTAAGCAGATATATCCACAAGTAGCCTCAGTTGCTCAGACTGATACTTCTGTTACTGGTAATTCTTTTGCTTGTGTTTCCCAGTCTAGTACTCTTGACCCATGGGTCATGAACTCAGGCGCTTCTGATCACATCTCTGGTAATATATCATTTTTGTCAAATATTATATATTCACAATCTCTTCCCACTGTTACTTTAGCCGATGGATGTCAAACTAAGGCAAAAGGAGTTGGATAAGTTAATCCCTTGTCTTCTATCACCCTAGATTCCGTTCTTTATGTCCCTGACTGTCTTTTTAGTCTTGCATTTGTTAGTCGTTTGACTCGTGCCCTCTATTGTGGTATATATTTTATTGACGATTCTTTTATTATGCAGGACGCAGTACGGGACAGAAAATTAGTACAGGACATGAATCAGAAGGCCTTTACTACCTTAACCCACTCAGTCCTTCCACAATATGTCTAGTTACAGATCCTCCAGATCTAATCCACAGACGTTTAGAACATCCGAGTTTATCCAAACTTCAGAAGATTATGCCTAGTTTATCTAGTTTGTCTACATTAGATTGTGAGTCGTGTCAACTTGGGAAACATACCCGAGCCTCCTTTCCGCGTAGTGTTGAGAGTCATGCAAAGTCTGTCTTCTCCTTAGTTCATTCTGATATATGGGGTCCTAGTAGAGTCGGTTCAACCTTGGGATTTCGTTAGTTTGTTAGTTTCATTGATGATTATTCAAGATGTATTTGGCTTTTCTTAATGAAAGATCGTTCTGAGTTATTTTCTATATTCCAGAGTTTATGTGCTGAAATCAAAAACCAATTTGGTGTTTCTATTCGCATGTTTCGCAGTGATAATGCCTTAGAATATTTATCTTCTCAGTTTCAGCAGTTTATGACTTCTCAAGGAATAATTCATCAGACATCTTGTCCTTATACCCCTCAGCAAAATGGGGTTGCTGAGAGAAAGAAAAGGCACCTTATTGAGACTGCTCGCACCCTTCTAATTGAATCTCGTGTTCTGTTGCGCTTTTGGGGCTATGCAGTTCTCACAACTTGTTATTTGATTAATCAGATGCTTTTATCTCCCATCAAGGATCAGATTCCACATTCAGTATTGTTTCCCCAGTCACCCTTATACTCTTTTCCACCACGTGTTTTTGGAAGCACGTGTTTTATTCATAATTTAGCCCCTGGGAAAGACAAGTTAGCTCCCCGTGCTCTCAAGTGTGTCTTCCTTGGTTATTCTCGTATTCAAAAGGGATAGCGCTGTTATTCTCCAGATTTTCGTAGGTACCTTATGTCAGCTGACGTCACATTTTTTTAGTCTAAACCTTTCTTTATCTCTGTTGACTACCATGATAAATTTGAGGTCTTACCCATACCGACCTTTGAAGAGGTTACTATAGCTCCTCCTCCACCTTCGACCACAGAAGTTTCACCCATACCAACCGTTGAGGAGTCTAGTGTTGTTCCTTCTAGATACCTAGCCACAGGAATACCACTCTTGACTTATCATCGTCGTCCGCACCCTACATCAGGCCCAACTGGTTCTCGTCCTGCACTTGACACTGCTCCTACTGCGGACTTGTCTCTTCCTAGTACACCGATTGCACTTCGGAAAGGTATACGGACAACACTTAATCCTAATCCTCATTATGTCGGTTTAAGTTATCATCGTCCGTCATCTCCCCATTATACTTTTATATCTTCTGTTAGTTTACAGATATGTATAATTAAGGGTGGCATGTGGGCCGGTCCAGACCCGGGACCGTCCTGGGACCGCGGCCCAAACGGGCCAGGCCCGTTTGGCCCGGTTTTAGTGGGCCCGGGCCGGTCTCGTGGGCCAGTCCTATGATTTGGGCCCGCCAGG